TATATGACTTCACTTATGTGGAATTTAAGATACAAAACAGTTGAACATTATAGAAGGGAAGCAAAAATAATATAAAAACAGAAAAGGGGGACAAAACATAAGACTCTTAAATGTAAAGAACAAATTGAGGGTTGCAGGAAGGGCTATGGGTAGGGGGGATGGGCTAAATGGTTAAGGGGCATTAAGGAAAACACGTGTTGGAATGAGCACTGGTGTTACACATAGGGGGATGGATCACTGGACTCTATTCCTGAAATCACTCTAGCTCTATATGTAACTAACTAGGAAGTAAATTAAAAATAAATAAGAATATGTAGTATATTCAATGGAACATTAACCATAAAAAAGAATAATATCTTGCCATTTGTGACATGGATAGACTTTAAGAGTATTATCCTAAGTGAAATAAGTCAGATGGAAAAAGACAAATACTGTGTGATTTCCCTCATAGGGAAAGTAAAAAAATAAATGAACAAAACAAACTCATGGATACAGAAAACAGAGTAATATTTACCAGAATTTAAGAGGGTTGAGTTGTGGGTGAAATGGGTAAAAGGGATCAACTGTATGGTGATAGATGGTAACTGGATCTTGTGATATGATCATGTGGGTAGCGTATGCAGGTGTCTAGTTATAAAGCTGTACACTTGAAACACATATATCTATGTATGTGTGTGTATGTATACATTTATGCATTTGGAATGTATATACATACATGCATACATATATACAAGAAAGTACTGTATGATTCCACTTAATGTGCGGTATCTAAAGCAGTCAAATTCATAGAAACAAAAAGAAAGTAGAATGATTGTTACCAGAGTCTCGGGGTGGGAAAGAGGGATTGTTTTTTAATTGGTATAGAGTTGGAGATTTGCAATATGCAAAAGTTATGGAAATCTGTTTTACAACCATGTGAATATACTTAACACTACTGAATTTTGGTTATAACTTAATATGGTTATAACTTAAATATGGTTAAGATGGTAATTTTTTTGCTATTTTTTTTAGCCACAGTAAAATGCAATGGCAAAAACAACTACAAAGCTATAAGAATGAAGAGAGTTATACTGGCATCCAGTCATACATCTGGATCAATACAATAGAATTGAGAATTCATAAGTAAACCCTTATTTTTATGGTCAGTTGATTTTCAACAAGGATGCCAAGATTATTCAGTAGGAGAAAGAATAGTCTTTCAACAAATGGTGGTGGGATAAGTGGAGAGCCACACTGAAAAGAATGAAGTTGGATTTGTATTTCCTACCCTGTACAAAAATTATTGCAAAATGGATCACATATCTGCATATAAGCTCTAACAGTATAAAATTTTTGGAAAACATAGAGTAAATCTTTCTCACCTTGGATTAGGAATAATTTGTTACATTTGACAATAAAAACACAAGCAGTAAACAAAAAACAAACCCTTATAAGTTGGGTTTCATATAGATCAAAACTTTTTGTGCTTCAGACAATATCATCAAGAAAACACAGCCCACAGAACAGGAGAAAATACTTGCCAAGTATATATCTGATAAGGAGTTTTATATCCAGAATATATAAATAACTCCTACAATTCAATAAAGACAAATGACTCCATAAGAAAAGGGCAAAGGATATGAGTAGACATTTCTTCAAAGAAAATATACAAATGGTCAATATGTGGATGAAAGATGCTGGACATCATCAGTCCATTAGGGAATTACAAATCAGAGCCACAAGATGGCAATTTATATCTTACTAGAAATAGCTAAAATAAAACAGACAGATAAATGTTGGTAAGGACATAGAGAAATTGAAACTCACTAGTGGGGATGTAAACTGATGTGGCCTGTTTGGGGAAAAAAAATGCTGACAGTTCTTCAAATGATTAAACATAGAGTTACCGTTCAACCTAGCAATCCCACTCCTGCATTAAATACATAGGAATGAAAACATACATCTACACAAAAGCTTTACACAAATATTTATAGTTACATTGTTCATAATAACCAAAACGTGGGAACAGTCCATGTAGCCATCAACTTCGGAATGGGCACACAAAATTTGGTGTATTCATATAATGGAATGTTATTTGCCAAAATAAATATTTATACATACTAAAATATGGACATGCCTTGAAAACAATATGGTAGATGAAAGAAGCCAGTCAAAAAGGACTGCTATGATCCCACTTATGTGAAGGGCTCTTGCATACACAAATCCATACAAATAAAAAGATTATTAGTGGTTCCAGGAGATGACTCTTGGTGATGGGAGGAGAGAGATGGGAACTGACTGCTAATGGTTAGTTATGGGTATCTTTTAGGGTGATAAAAATACTCTGAATTTAGATAATGGTGATAGCTGTACAACTCTGTAAGTGTATTATGAATCACTGAATTGTATAATTCAAAAGGATGAATGTTATGTGAATATCACTTCAGTAAAGCTAGTATTTTTTAAAAAGTTACAGTGAGCTAACACTCCTCCTTCATTAAAATATCAACTCTCTTTACTTTTTTCTCCTAGTACTCATAATTGTTTACTTTTCCATAGTTTTTTTTTTTTTGTATGTGTGTAAATGTAATATGTTTTTATACTTGGGAGACTTTTATTGATTACTATCTGATACTTTTTTGTAAAAAAAACTATAAACTGAAATGAAAGTTTCATATGTTTTGATGCCTTTCATGACTATAATACTATTAAGTGTTTAAATATAAATCATTCTTCATGAAATTTTTGTTTTTAACAATACAAAGTTGATTAAAAATAATAATGTTACAAGTATTTGAATTCACACCATATATCAAAGAACATTTTGGTTTTTAACTAATGATTAAATTATGCCCTCTTTTGATTTTGTTAAAAGTTAAGAATTAGAAACTGTCTGACTTGGAAAAGAATTTCTTATGTAGTCATTATTCATTCATTTTCTCAGATCTTCAGAACATAACCAAAAAGACCCTGTCAAGTCATATCAACATTACTGTTAAATATACTTATTACTTTTTACCTTGTTCTGATGTCCTTGGTAAGGATTGGGAAGGTTGAGTTATTGTGTTTTTCAATATAGTGTTGTGAAACTATTTATTATTAAGGTTTCTGTGCTTTAAATTCTCATCAAAACTTAGAGCTGCAGATTTACTTAAATTATGGAAATATTTACCAAATTCATGGGCAAAGCCATTTCTCATTGTTAAAACATTCATTCAGGCTTTTTTGTACATTCTGACTATGCCCTCTTTGCTAATGGAAGAGGCAAGTTTTTTTTTTTTTTTTTACTGTTTTATTTATTTCTAAGAGAGAGACAGCGTGAGCAGGGGAGGGTCAGAGAGAGAGGGAGTCACAGACTGAAACAGGCTCCAGGCTCTGAGCTGGCAGTCAGCACAGAGCCCGACATGGGGCTCGAACCCACGAACCACGAGATCATGACCTAAGCAAAAGTTGGACGCTTAACCGACTAAGCCACCCAGGTGCCCCTGGAAGAGGCAAGGTTTTTAACAAAAGTTATTTAGCACTTTCACTAGTTGGACGAGTTGTTTCATATCATAAAGTAGAAGAGCAGATGTGAGAGGGGAAGTGGAAAGTGGTTACTTTTAAGATATACAGATGTATATGTTCCAGGCAGATCTGTACTTTTGAAGTTAAAGTGTTATATACGTGTTCTCTTAAATATATCCATGGCTTTGGATCCCTTTTAAATTCTTTATCTCCTGGAATATTTTTGCTCAACTTGAAGACTAATATTCCACCCCACTCTTAGTCTTTCATGAAAAGTAGCCTTGCAGAGCATACATTTTATGTGTATGCATATTGTGTACAAGGATATTGATATGTTGGTACACTTCCTGTTCACTTGGACCACATTTTACCAAAGATCCCATACCTGTCCCTGTTGTGGACAGATATCTCTTGGTGTCCAGATTGAACCTTTGAATCCTTCACGACTGGCCTCTCTTACTAGTTGACTAGAGCTGGGACAGGAGACACTTTTCTGTCATACCACCTTTGTTAGTTTCCTCACTCTGACATATTTGTATCTTCTCTTTTTTTTGTAGTTTAGATTTCCTATTTACATTTTACTTTTTTCATTTTGTTTGTTAGTGTGATTTTTTTATTAAAATTATCCTTCAATCAGTTTGGAAATGTATTTGGAAATAATTTTCCATGAGTCTCTTGCATTTGTGTACATTTTGTGAACAAAAGCTTTGGTTTCCTTTGTTCTAGTCTACTTTTTCAAATTTTTTTCTATGGTGAGCAGCTTTGGAAAATATGGTGACTAGAACAGTGTATAAGTTTGTTTATAGCCTTGGATGATGAGAGTTGATTCCTTCCTTTAGAGCAAAAGTGATAGGCAGGCTTACGCCCATTATAGTTATTCAGATTCCCAAATCTCAGGGCGCCTTTCCTGTATCACAGCCCACCATGTGATGTGTGCATATCAGCTGGCCCTGCTCAGGTTCTCTGAGAATTGGGACTCCAGAAACTGGAGCAAGAAAATTCTGTCATTTTGACTACTCCTATTGTTGTAGGGATTCCTGTGCCTCTGACTCAGGAGTCTTACTACTTCATCTGGTAACATGTGAGATAGTGATAGACTAGTTTGTTAGCTTCTAAGTGGTAAAATCTAAGCTGCTTCACAGTTGTTGACAATATGTAGGAAATAACAAATAAGCAAATAGCTACCAGAGTTCAGCTCAGAAATGTCATTGTATCCATGTTTTTCATTAAAAACTTAAATATAAATGTCACATACATTTCTCAGATTTTTTTAGGTTAAAATAAAGGTTTGACATAATTCTGCTATTTATATTTAATGGCTGTTTTGAAAGCATAATAAGCCATCTGTTTCTCATATGCATTTAAGTTTGGATTATATGTATGTGTGGATGTATTCACATATATGGAATGTGTATATTCATGTTTTGAAAAACCAAATCAATCTTACTTTGCTTAATCATGTTTTTAAGAATTCCCCATATGTCATTATGATGTATTATTTGCCTCTATTCCAGAATATTGGAAAGAAGATGACCTGCCAAGAGTTCATTGCAAACCTCCAAGGAGTAAATGAAGGTGGTGATTTCTCCAAGGATCTACTGAAAGTAAGCACTGAATGATTGGTTTTTAAAATATGCTTATATTTATCTTTCTGCTTATTTTTAAAATAGGCTAAGGATCACTTAAGTATTTTGGTTTTTGCTTTTGGTTTTGTTGGTGATATTTCTGTCGGGCCTCATCCTTGATGTGTCAGACTGCAAGTACCCTTCAGTGAATTTATGCTAAAAGTTCACATTGTAATCAATAAGACTGAGATAATTAGATTTGGAATTATTGGAGATTCATAGTGGGCAGTTTTTTATTTATTTGTAAGCATACTGTCAGAACTTGAAAAGATCTCAAAGATATATTCACTATGGAAACAAAAAAAATTTACATGCTATAATGGAAGCAGTTGTGACTCTATCCAGTCCCTAGTTACAGAGCCACTGAAGTTGTCTCCGGAAATGTAAGTAATTGTAGAATATCTGAATTATTTGTACTCAGCTTTATTATTGGCATCATTCAGCATGCTTTTCCCTATCATATTTTCAAGGAGACAACAAAATCAGCTTTGGAATTCATAACATTCTATAGCCGTATAGATGAGATATGCATTTGATTAAATATAAAATAGTGATTGATAATAGATGTGAATAATTTAGAAGTTCAGGATAAGATGTGTGTGTTGACAGATTTCTATTTGATTCTAGCCTTCTTTTCTAAAACTTTGTACATGTGTAGACTTCCTTTGCAGTTCCTTTAAATTTGCTAAGGGAAACACATGTGAATCATGGTATGATCTTTTGTGCTCTCTGAAAAATAAATAAACATTAAAAAACAAGAAATGAAAATTGACAGCAGACATTTTCAGTGAAGCTTTTAGATTTTATTGATAGGCTGATGGTAACATACATGACTGTGGATGAATTATTGGGCAGATTTAGAGCGTGTTTGATGGAGCTGTCTGAATCCAAATGTAGTTAACATACAGTCCAGTGACTGCCGTTCACCTTGGGTAAACATATGTTCTTTGATTTACTCTGCCAAGAATTTGCTGGATGATTTGTTACAGTTGAGGCTATATTGAGATCCTGTTTATAAACCTCAGGGGGGGAAAAACATGTATTATACTCTTTTTTTATTTATTGTAGGAAGATGACAGTGAAATAACACTGAAAATGACGGTGGCATTTAGCATGGAAATTGTCAAGTAAAATACTGATTCCCTTTCATAGCAAACCTCAGCGTCTCACCCACTTAAGATGAGGATTTTCCATTTCAGAAAGAATCTGGATTTTACTGCAGATTTCAATCAAGAAAAGGTCTTCTTCAAACTATTTTTGCTTTATTTCTCTTTTTGGTGTGGCTCTCCTTTTTTCCTTCCCTGCCCTCCTTCTCCTCCCTCCTTTCCCTTCCTTATTTCCTCTGTTTCTATTTATTTATGTCTTTTCCTTTTGTTTTTCTTTTTGTCTCTTCTTTCTCGTCTCTTGTCTCTCTCTCTCTCTCTCAGACTGTCTCCCTCACTGTCTTTTTCAGGGGCTATCTCTTGATTGTCTTCAGAGATAAATTAGTAGGTGGAATTCAAATTAATATTGAACTTTTGTGGAAAATGATTATACACATGCCATACAGATAACATACTTACATACAGATAAACAGAAAGTATTTGGTATCATCTTACAGGGTTCTGAGTAACCTACTCCTTCCTGTCTTTTACCCTCTCTCCAACTTAAAAATTACAGGCATATACAACATTCAGTTTAATTTATGAGGTAACATGCTTAGAGTTAAATGGATTGAACTGAGGCTTTCATTGATACATAGTGATATTATTACTTTTAGATTCTTTGGGTCCAAAGTAGCATTTGTTATTTTGTTTGTTTGTTTATTAGAGAGAGGGAGAAAATGTGAGCATGGAATTGGACAGAGAGAGGGAGAGAGAGAAAATCCCAAGCAGGCTATATGCTGTCAGCACAGAGCCTGATGCAGGCCTCAGTTTCGTGAACCATGAGATCATGGCTTGAGCCAAAATCAAGAGTTGTAGGCTTTAACTGACTGAACCACCCAGGCACCCCAGGATCAAGAGTAACATTTGAATTTATGTCTCTTCAGATTTCTTTGTACCGTTGGTAACAGTTCAACTTATGTCTCTTGTTTACTATGGTTGGGTCGTAGACAATATTTATTGAAGGCCCACTGTGCGTTCAATGAGTATTGTGGATTTGGAGAACTTGCTAGAACTGAATGGACCACTTACCTCACAAACTACTGAGAAAGATGGATGGTTCTCTTTCCCTTAAAATGAATAGTTATTCCATATTAAAATTAAAATATAAAATGATTCTACTTGTTCTCAACAGAAAGTTATCAAGAAAGATAATCTGAAAACTTTAATTTTTTAACATATTTATATTTTTTTACTTTTTTAACGCTTATTCATTTTAGAGAGAGCACTAGCAGGGGTGGGGCGGAGAGAGAGGGAGACACAGAATCCGAAGTAGGTTCCAGGTTCTGAGCTAAAAGTCGAATGTTTAACCAATTGAGCCACCCAGGCACCCCAACCTTAATGTATGTAGTATGAAAAATGAGAAATTTATTTCAAGGCTTTAATTCAGAGACTTAAGTTAATATTTTGCTTTACTCTTGCCTTGGACTACATTTAAATGATACATTGAGCTCTTCTTTTTAGTTTACAATTCCACAGCAGTTTCCCTTTTCACTCAAATGACCTAAACAGATAAATGAATGCTCTGTGCAAATAAGAATGTTTCCCCTGCAAGTTGCTTTGAGTATAAATTCTAGATGCCTATAGTATAAAGTAGAATAATTTGGATACCAAATACAACCAGTGATAGAATATTATTTAATTTCTTTAAAGTTGAAGTCTGGCTGGGAGGATATGTTTGAGACAGGCCTTAGAAATATAGGTACAATTATACTAGTAGACTTATTTTGGTTTTTAGTTAGATTATTATTCTACTTCATCTTCCAACCCCTTTCTCACCCATAAACATTACTGTTCTCTGTCATAAGTACCTCTCCTTATTATTTCACCAAATCAAGACAGCACTTCATTTAACAAAATATGCCAAACCATCTGGCATGTTTCATGGCTCTGTAGGCACTACCCATCCCAACACGTGGATGTGGTTTGTGCTTAAGCATCCTTAGGACAGTGTGGAAAAGAAGGGAAAATGGAGACTCTGCTTTTAGTTCAGACAGAATAAGGCATTCCTAAGATTTTATAATAAGTAATAAAACCCTTAAGTACATGAATAGAGAGGGATGAGAATGTAAAATGTGGGTCAGCTCTGGATTAGAGGCTGAACTTTCTGAGAGACATTGTCAGGTAGTGATTATGATTATGGACTCAGGAGCTATACTGACTGAGTTCTAATCCCAGCTCCCACTGAGGGACTTTAAGTAAATTCACTGAAATTTAGTTCCTTGATTTCCTCTTCTGTGAAATTAGAGATTTTATTAGTACCCATCTCATCAGTTTTTTTAATAATTGAATGAGTTAATATATAAGGCCTTTAGAGTCCTAGCATGTAATAAATGCTGTATGTATTAGCTATTATATATTTTTATTTTAAATATTATTTTATTTTTTACCAGCTTGAAGTAGACTGGGAAGGGCCTCCATCCCTTCCTTCAGGATTTGGATCTAAGGTGTTTACAACTACTAGGACCAAGTAGTTTTTACAACTACTAGGTCTAATTAAGATTATCTTTAATGCACAAAACCTCTTTTGCCCATCCTTTTTTAGCCTAGGCATATACATTCTCTTGCTGTTTAAAGGGACCATCTGTAAACTTGACTTTGAGCATTTCCTCCTTTTGTGGTAAGATTTTTAACTGTCATCATTTATGGCTTCCTTTCTTTCCAAAGACTTGTTGGTTTTACTTCTTGTACTGTTGGTGGGAATGCAGACTGGTGTAGCCACTCTGGAGAACAGTATGGCAGTTACTCAAAAACTTAAAAACAGAACTATCCTACAATCCAGCAATTGTACTGCTAGGTGTTTACCCAAAAGTTACAGAAATATTGATTTGAAGGGGCACGTGCACTCCAATGTTTATAGCAGCATTATCAGTAATAAACTTTGGAGAGAGCCCAAATGTCCATTGCTTGATGAATGAGTAAAGAAGATTTGGTATATATATATACAACGGACTATTACTCAGCCATCAAAAACATGGAATCTTGCCATTTGCAATGACATGGATGGAGCTAGAGAGTATTATGCTAAGCAAAATAAGTCAGTCAGAAAAAGACAAATACCATTTGATTTCACTCATGAGGAATTTAAGAAACAAAACAGATGAACGTATGGGAAGGGGTAAAAAAGAAAAAAATGAGAGGGAAACAGACTTTTAGGGATAGAGAAAAAACTGAGGGTTGATAGAGGGTGTTGGATGGAGGGATGGGCTAAATGGGTGATGGGCTTTAAGGAGGACACTTAACGATGAGCACTAGAGTGATGAATCATGAGTTCTGCTCCTGAAACCAATGTTGCACTGTATGTTAACTAACTAGAATTTAAATAAATTTTTTTTTAAAAATACCTGTTCGTTCTGAAGAGTGGCCATCAAAATTTTCCACAAGGAACATTTGTTCCATAAAGTCTGTGTTAACATTATGGAGGCACTTGAAAATGAACACTGGTAAGCCCTATATTTTCCTTGCCTTTTTACCTTGTTAACAGTGGGTTGTTTCTCCTGGACCTTATGCCTCGTGTCCCACTCTTCTATTTGGTTTGGGTCTTTGAATCTGCAAGAGTGGTGGTCCTGCACCTTCTTACTTAGGACTGTTTGGAGAAAACGTAAGAGAGCAAGTGGGCATCTAGCAACTTTTCTTTTTTCTCCGAGTTTTAGACACTTCAAATAATTCACATCTACATTAATATCCCAGGATTATTTTGGGGTCTTTAAAGAGGACAAGAACTGATTTGCTTCCTCAAAGGTTCTTCCAGATTCCAGGACCAGTTTAAGTTTGGTCTTAAACTTTTCTGTAAGTTTTATTTCATCTGAGTTTCCTATGAATCTCTATTCTTGGCTA